TCACAATTGGCAGCCATTAGTGTCCAGACATGTTGACGAGGAGAACCACGAGTGATACTAACACCATCAACATAATCACTACTCAAATTATTGTGATTAGAACCATAAACAAGGTTAACTGCATCAGGTGAATTGTATTGATATCCAGTTACTCTACCACAGACTTGAGAATAACTGATACCATTAGATGGGAACTGAACTGATACACAACCACCACTGCTTGTTGCTGGTCTACCACAAGCTCTAACTCCTCCTGACTGGTACAGTCTAAACCCAGAAGGACAGTTTTCTGTAGCATCAGTCATATCCAGATATGCTAGTCTTGTCCATCCTCCTCCTGAACCACACAATGTTCCCATATCGCAATAAGTATTGTAAGAACTAGTACCATCACTAGCAGCTAGTATATATGAACCTGATGGACTGTTGGGCCGTTGCTGTTTAATTTCCTGGCAAGAAGTAGGTAAAGCAGCTGATTCATTGTGTAGTACTAATAGTTCTTGTGCTATTAGTAGTATATCATCAGCCACTCCAGCAGTAGAGATGCAGGTGTCTTGTATGTTGGAGAGAGTATTGACAATGTTAATGAGCTTTTGTGCAGAGTTTCCTGTAGTGTTTAATATCTTATCGATGTCCTTTGTATTGCTAAAAACTAACTCTGTTTGGCTATTAGCAGTATTATGAATATCGTTAATCTTCCATGCTGCATCTTCTGAAGTATTGATCAATTTACCAACTTGAGTTTCGAGGCAAAATATTTGACTTTGCACTGCATCACTCCACTCATTACTGCAGTTTGGAGCAGCATTGCTTCCAACAGTACCAGAAGAGTTAGCATTACCATTGGTGTTACCAAATCCTGTAGTTGCATCAGAAACTGAGAAATGTGCTAGAATTTGCATTCCAAGAATAGCACTTAACAAAAAAATCATAAGCTACCAGAATGAGACAGACTGCTTTTAGTTTCATTGATAAACCCTTTACATGCTTGTTATTGGTGGAGGCATCTTGAAACTGATATCGTCGAGGATATCGTTGGTTTTCATTGTATTCTTGTAGCTCTGTTACTTCATAGACGTGTTCTTGTCTCTCCATTACTATTGTTTATTGCGATTGGTTAACATGGTAACATGAATCCCTTCATATTATTTATGAGTCTAAATGTACGACATCAAAACCAATTATGAATTCTACGGAATGTTCAAAGTGTCAAAAATAGTATACACAGGCCACACAAAACTACATGCAGAACTATAGTTAATAATAATAATAATAATAACAAAATAGCAATAAGTGTCTGTAAATTATGACTGAACTGAGTGATAGTTAAACAGTTGTGGTCTCAGTATTGACTGATATCTTCCTTGGCATTACTTCTTGTATGGTTGCATATTGAGCTCTACTGTTACTACCACTGCTGCTCACCATACTGGCTCTCTTAGCAGCATTATGCTGTGAACTAAGGACATCTAAATCAGCATATCTGCCTGAAGACAGTGATGATGAGGATGTCAGTGGTGGCTTATCATAAGTAGAGAATGAGGTAGAGAGTGATGAATCAGTGTGTAAAGCTGAATCGAGTGTTAGAGGCTCGTTAGATCTAGTACTGGAGTTTAAATTAGGCTGAGGTGTGAGAGTAATGCTTTCATTATTAGCTGGTGTGGGTGAGGGTGACGGTGGCATGGTACTCTCAATTCTAGTAGGAGAGAAAGGTGGGGAATTGTAGTCAGTGGTTTCAGGAGAGGTAGAGCCATTGTGAGCTGTTGAGTTGATGAGCTCTGATGTTATGGTCATCATTGAAACATCAAGTCTTTGCTCTACAAATAGAAAAAGAATAAAATATAGAACAGAGCTTCTTGTCAGCTCATGAGAATGTGCTATTTAGCTTTCCATGGTATTTTGTCAAAAATGACAAGGAGAAAATTCTCCATTCTTATCATTTTTGATACATAATCATACACTGATGTTGTGCACTTTATTATACCTGATCTAGTAAGTGAAGAGGACTTGGAATAAGAAGGACTCATTGGTGGACTCATAGCTTCAGAGCTTAGAAGATGAAGCTCTATAAGAAACAAGCAATAATTAAAACAATAACTGATTACACAAACTATTATAATGAATCAATGAATGAATGAGTGTATGCTGCTAGTGGATGTTACATACGTGATGCTTTAGATGGTGAAATGACTACATTCTTCTTTCTTTTCTTTGGAATTCCTCTTTCTTGTACTTCTCTCCCTTCATCAGGTGAGCTGATCCTGTACATTCTGCCTTTATGCTTTCGACTAAAAAAGTAAGAATTAAAAGCAATTTAATTAGTGTCTGTTCTTTTCCTTTCTAATGCACTGCTTTGCTTATTCATGTTTTTATTTAATCATTTATAAAAATTTAATGTTAGAAATAACTTTTGATTATAATGCTAGATTGTGTTGATTCCACTTTCAATTAAAACAATAGGCCAACAACATTGCATGTGAACATAATGATGAAGAGTATAATGTAGAGTCTTACTGGTTAATATAGAACAAGATGGAGACAATTATAAGGCAAGTGAATAGGAGGATAGCAGCAATGGTAGGACTAATGACTGCTAGTACTGGAAGAGATGAAGCGCCTGGTTCAACTGGCCCAGCACTAGGAGTAGCAGCTGGAATAGGAACAAGAGAGAGAGAAAAAAGAGAAAATAATTAATAATTAAAAAATTTTTAACTCACTTAGTGTTGGTATGCTAGTAGAGGTCTGTGTGTTTGCTATAAATAAAAATAAAACAAATAAAAATTAAATTAAATGTATTAATAATCTTACAGTTTCCAGAACAGTTCAGCCATACACTGGTACTTCCCTCGTAACATTCCTCTCCAGCGTAGCCCCACCCTAAATGCTGGCACTCTTCAAGACGAGTCTCGTTACCAAAGCAACGGACACCACTCAACCAAAAGAAGGAGTCTTGGGATGACGTAGCCACGCCCATCGTTGAAACAGCCAGACCTTCCCCCAGATGATGACAAGCAATATCGGCAGTTGTTAAGCTCCACCCACTAGTGGTACAAACTCGCCCCCACTTCTCGGCAAAATAAACTTGTAAAATTCCCTCGGGTTTATTTCCGTTGCTTAGCAACCTGAGCCTCACATTAGGAGGAGTGGGCGTGTCACTGCATACGGCCCCAGCCACGTGAGAGATGTCACACGAGAGCTGGTTGTCATGGTAACAGTTGGAGAGGCCAGACTCAAGCCCGACGCATGTTACCCTACCATAACCAAGCGATCGACTACCTATTGAGAGAGAGAGAGAAATAAAACTAGCATATAGATGGATGAGATACAGTTCCTTACCTGTTCCAAAGGTAGTTCCAATGGTGGCTCCTATGGCGTATCCATACCCCAACTGACGACAAACCACACGAGCACTAGCCAGGCTCCACCCATCATCGCACACACGCCCCCAAATCACATTATCTTGTAAGTGGATTTCAACTCGTCCTGCCCACTCTACGTTACCGCCCACGAGACGTATCCGAACTGGAGAACTCACAACTAAAAAATAAAATAAAAATAATGGAATTATTTTAAAATTATTCTTACCGGTTTGACAGGAGACAGCGACGTCTTGAGTGCTATCGCATGATTGGTCGTAAGTGCCGGGTGCCAGGAGGGTGTGGCCACATTGCAGGAGGGAGGGCTCCAGGCCAGTGCACTGTAGGGTATCAATCAAAATGGGACGATAACCAAAACCAAACTGAGAACTAGAAATCCTTGATGCACCTGAAATAAGAAGAGAATAAATGAACTTTAAATTTTGTAGAGTACAAAAAATTTTTGCTATCAATGCACTAAAATTAGTAAAATAAATATGAACGAAATAGTGCCAACCTTCAACTCTGAATCCTAACTGATGACACACCAGGGCAGCCTCCTCATAGCCCCACCCACCAATGCAGACCCGCCCCCATTCTCCGCCTACACATATCTCTAATCGTCCCTGGCTTTGTCCTTCAAGTATCATCCCGTTTTTAGTGAGTCTTACATCACCATCGGCACATAAGAACGTCTGAGATACCGAGGAACCTACATGTGCATGTACATTGTAATAAAAATGAATAAATACAATTATTGCATCATAGCATAGCTGGTGATCTTGGAGGGGTAAAATTTGGCAAAATGATAAGATAATTTTTAGCTTTAGCTTATGCTTGAGATAGCTCATTTTACTTTGGCAAACGACTATCAAAATTCATTCAAAATCACCAGATATATACAGTAGTCTTTTCTCCTTCTCTTACTTGATGAGCAGACCACACTGGCATCATTAGAGTGTGAACTACAGGCGCTGCTAGTGCTACCAGTACTATTAGGACAAAATGACAGGCTAGCTTCATTGCCAGTACAATCTACACCTGACCATACTATAACAGAAAAATAGCAATTAATGATATATTACTAGTACTTTAGTATTAAAAAATTGATTTTACTCTACACACATACGCAGTACCTGCTCCTTCTCCTTTACCAAACCAAGAACCAGCTAACGTTCGGCTGGCCCTTGGGTACCCAAGTACACGACAGATAACCTCAGCATCAGGTAGACCCCATCCTTCATCACAGACGCTGCTGCCAATTCCATTACGAAGTATCTCAACTCGTCCTTCATTGGAGGAAACACCACCGACTAGGCTCACGGAATCCATTGTAACTGAAAATAGAACATGTACAATAGTTGGTGATTTTATAATTAGAAGTGTTAGGAGTTTTTTCGAGATAAAACTGAATTT